GGCATGGTGGCAGCTTCAGCGTGGGCCCACCTCTGCCTGGGCCTGCATATGGCTCCATGGGCCTCAGTCCCGAGTGTGCCCCCTGCTGGGTGGGTTTGGAGGTGTAGGCAGCTCAGAGCAGGAGCAGATCCTTATGATCTATATGCTCTTCTGTAGCGTGCTGCTCGCCTGAACGCCTGCTGGCCTTTCTGCTGCCCAAGCTGGACACCAGCAATGAGAGGACCCGCGTGGGCAGCCTGCAGGTCCTGAGGCATGTCATCAACTCGGCTGGTGAGTGCGCAGAGCCGTGCCTGAGAATCTGCTAGGTAAAGGCAGTGTCTTGCTTTGAATTCTTTGAAAATGTTTCCCAACTTTCTGTTTTGTAAAATAGCGAGCTTTTTGAAAAGTTTACCTCTGACACCGGCTGCAGATGCCAGACACGGTGTCCCTGACCCTGACTGGGCATTGGCCACATGCCCACGGTCAGGTTACCCAGAGTCACACAGATGAGACAGACCTGGTCTGCTGCAGCTGCCCCTCCGGGAGAGTCACACGCTGCTTAGCTGTCTCTTAGATGGACCTTTTGGAAGAGTTGGGGCTAAGTGTCCTGTAGAATGTCCCTCAGTTTGCATGTCTGGTGGTTTCCTCACAATTAGATGGAAGGGTCCAGGTTTCCTGCTTTTATGGCTAATTTGCCCTGAGTTTGTTTTTGATGATCTTGTTCCCACCCTGTTACCGGGCTCTGTGCAGGGGCCACATGAGGCCTGCAGCCCATGGGGTTGGGAGGGTTTTCTTTTGTTTTTTTTAAATGTACACATTTTTATTTTATATATATATATATATATATTTATTTATTTATTTATTTATTTTTAAAACATATCTTTATTGATTTCAGAGAGAGGAAAGGAGGGGGAGAGAGAGAGATAGGAACATCAATGATGAGAGAGTCATTGATTGGTTGCCTAGCCCGCAACCTGGGCATGTGCCCTGACCGGGAATCGAACCCCGATCTCCTGCATCCTAGGTCGATGGTCAACCGCTGAGCCATCCCTGGCCGAGCTTATTTTATATTTTTTAACCCTCACCCAAGGATATTTTTTCCACTGATTTTTAGAGAGTGGAAGGGAGGGAGGAGGGGGAGAGGAGAGAGGGAGAGAGAGAGAAACATCGATGTGAGAGAGACATATCGATTGGTTGCCTCCTGCACCCACCCTGACCTGGACTGGGGATGGAGTCTGCAACTGAGGTATGTGCCCTTGGCCGGAAATCGAACCTGAGACCCTTTGGTCTGTGGGCCAGTGCTCTAACCACTGAGGAAAACCGGCCAGGGCTAGGAGGGGTTTTTTAACATTAACAGGCTGCAAAGGTGAGCAAAGTTGATGGAGACCTCATGTGGCCCTGCCACTGGCAGTATTTTCACTGGCCCTTTAGGGAGCAAGTGTGCTGACAGTCCCATGAGGTTCAGGTGTCGGTGCTGGGTCACAAACAGCACGGTGGATGTGGGGCAGCTTGGGAAGGGACAGGGGCATGGGACAGTGGCAGCCCAGACAGACCACAGCCTGCATCACACTGGCTCCTGAATACAGCTCTCCCACTCCCACACTGAGGAGGAAACCAAGGCTGAGGGAGGTACAGGGACTTGAGCTCCTCCTGCAACATTTGAGGTGGAGCCTGGTACCTGTGTGGGTAGTGGCAGTCCACCCTGGTGTCCTCGTTGATTTCTGTTTACTTTGGGTAGAGAATGCTTCTTTCTACTCAGGAGCTCACCATTTGCGTGCCTGGCATGCTGGCCCTTCCTTGGTTAATTCTGACTTTGTGTTGATGTTTACAGAATTTGTCTCTCCCTGGCCAGTTTGACTCAGTGGTTGGAGCATTGGCCTGCAGACTGAAGGGTCCTGGGTTCGATTCCGGCCAAGGGCATATACTTCGGTTGCAGGCTCGATCCCTGGCTCCAGTAGGGGCATGTGTGGAAGACAACCCATTGATGTGTCTCTCTCACATTGATGTTTCTCTCTCTCCCTTCCTCCCTTCCACTCGCTCTGAAAAGCAATGAAAAAATATCCTCGGGTAAGGGTTAAATAAACAAAAATCCAGAAGTTGTCTCATGTTCACTTGCTTGTTTTCCCCATAGGTTCTTCTCTGCATTTAGTGCGTATTTGTGTGTATACGCAGAGACCTTTTTTTTCTTAACCAGAGACCTGCTTTTCACTGTCTAGTGCACCTGAGGGCACATGGTGTCCACACATGTGGCTCTTTCGCGCTCATTATTTAAATTTGGAGTGTGACACACACAGAAACATGTATGTGCTCACTCTGCCTTGTGTGTGTGTGCGTGTGTGTGTGTGTCTAGTGAGGACCAGGCCCGCACAACCTCTGACACCACTGTGTGAACGGGACCCGAGAGTGAAGGATGTGTCTGGCTTCTTCCCCTCCATTCCCTGGCTGTGGATTTTACACCTTTAGTGCATTCATTTCCCCTCTGGGAAGGTCCTAGTGCATGCGCCTGCCCCTCTGTCCATCCTGCTGGTGTGGGCGAGTGGCAGGGTCCTTTTAAAGTTTTTGGCCTACAGTTATATATTTTTTTCCTTCAGAATTTTATTTTCTAATACTGAGAATAAATTGCATTCAGTAACATGCACAAATATCAAGTATAATTTGGTGACATTTATACATTATTCACCCATGTGACCATTACTCAAAAATGTGGAACGTTTCAAAAGACCCAAGAATATCCTTGTGCTCATTTTCAGACAACAGCCACCCCCTACCCTAAGCATTAGCCACTTTTCTGGCTTCTATCACAATAAATTAATTCTGCCTGCATATAAACTAATTCATTCAGTTAGGTAATCTTTTACATCTGTCGTCTTTCACTGAGCATCATATTTTTTTAAATACCTTTATTGATTTCTGAGAGAGAAAGAGAGAGGGAGAGAGAGAGATAGAAACATCAATGATGATAGAGTCGTTGATCGGCTGTCTCCTGCACGCCCCCAACTGGGGATCGAGCCCACAACCTGGGCATGTGCCCTGACCAGGAATTGAACTGCGATCTTCTGGATCCTAGGTCGATGCTCAACTGCTGAGCCACACCAGCCAAACAATATCTTTGAGACTCATACGTGTTGTGTCTGTACCTCTTCCTCCTTTTTTATTGCTGAATTGTATCCCATTATATTTTGTGAATAAAAATGTATTCTGTTAATGGACATTTGGGTTGTTTCCATTTTTTGGCAATTATGAAGAAATCTGCTATGAACATTCTTTTTTTTACTTAAAATGACTTGAAGTGTGTGTGTTTTTAAATTCCCATCCCCCCACCCTCTCCCCTTTGGAAACCATCAGCTTTTTCTCTGTATCTATGTTCTGTTTCTGTTTTGTTTTGTTCATTTATTTTGTTCTTTAGATTCCACATATAAGTGAAAGCATATGGTATTTGTCTTTCTCTGTCTGACTCATTCCACTTAGAATAGTACTCTAGGTCCATCCATATTTGTCAAGTGACAAGATTTCATTCTTTTTTTTATGGCCAAATAATATTATATATATGTACCAGGGCTTCTTTATCTACTCATCTATGGATGGGAACTTAGGTTACTTCCATATCTTGACTATTGTAAATAATGCTGCATTGGACATGTGTCATTCTGAATGAGTGTGTCTGCCCATCTTGGTTGTGGAAGCTCATTCCCTTGTGGATCCACAGGAAGGCTCATGTGAACACAGTCCCTATTTCTTCTGCTCATTGAGAATAGTTCCTTGGAGCCTTTGTACTTGGTCAGTTTTGCTGGTTATAAAATTCTTGGTTTGCATTTCCTTGACTGTCCTGCTGCCCTAAACTGCCAACCTTCTAGCTTTTTAATAGTATAAAATGTTATTGGGGGGAAAAGTCACTTGTCCCCTGGAGAGAAGTGGTGGGCTTTGCTTATGTGCTCCCCTCTCCACTCACATGATAGCCACGCTGAGGCCAGACCTGGGTGACAGGGCCTTGGGCCTCAGTGGGGAGGCTGAGCCACCTGCTTGTTTCTTGCAGCTGCTCAGATGGAGGTTAAGAAGCCCTTTATCCTGTCCTCCATGAGGCTTCCTCTTCTGGACACCAACAGCAAGGCAAGTCACGGGCCAGCCGAGGTGTACCACCAGCTGGCCAGGGAATGTGGCCAGGCTGGTATCTGCTACCACCCTTGACTTGGAGGCCAGCCCCCTGTCGACCCTCAGCATCACAGGGGGCACAGCAGTTGTGTTTCTGGGAGTCCCCACATCTTTCTCCTGACACAGTTCCCCCAGGTGTGAAGTTAGGCTCAGGTCCCAACGCCACCCTCAGGATCAAGAAATCTCTAGGAGTCCAGAACTCATGAGAGCTGTCACATTCAGTTATGGTTCATTCCAATGAAAAGACAGAGGGCACTCAGCTGTGAATGAGGCATGTGGGGTAGGCCCAGGAGGGTATGATGCCGAACTCCAGTTGTCCTCCCTGTGGAGTTGTGGGCAGTGATGTGACAGCACACAGAGGCTGTCATGCTGGGAACCCCCCACCTGTGTTCAAGGTCTTTAACGGGGCCTTCATCACATAGATCTCAGTCACCAGCCCCTTGGAGGCTGAGCTAAAACGGCATGGTCCTCAGCTCCGGGAAGGGCATACTGATTTTAGCTATTGTGACGTGGCCATACCCTCAGGTGGAGCCACTGAGGGGGGCTGGATGGTAGGCTCAGGACTCCCAGGGGAGTTTGGGTGACAGTTGCCGATTGAGGGACCTCCCCATGAAGGGTGAGACAGAGCAGGGGAGGGGGCAGGAGGAGCACAGCCCCTGGATGTGAGACATCTGTGAGGTGCAGTGAGGAAGATGCAGGTGCTGGTGCGTGTGCAGGTGTGGTTAAGGCAGCTGCAGGCAGAGGAAAGGGCGAAATTCATGTGTCCAGAATGAACTGTCCAGGCCTGTCCCTCCATGCAGGTGAAGCGGGCGGTGGTGCAGGTGATCAGCGCCATGGCCCACCACGGCTACCTGGAGCAGCCTGGGGGTGAGGCAATGCTGGAGTATATTGTACAGCAGTGCGCACTGCCCCCCGACATCCAGGTAAGGTGTCTCCCACCACCCACTGGGGCTAGGACCTGTCAACTCTTCTGGGGAGCATGGGCACCAGAAAGTGTGCAGCCCCAAGTGGGGGGCAGGTGGGGCAGGCGCAGCCTCGGGCTGGTGCCCAGCAGCTCTCTCTAGTGTCAGTAGGGGCCTCTGCACCCCAGTGGTCACTTCCTCAGTGACTGGAGGGGCAGACAGGCACAGGGCTCTCTTTAGGGATTTTCTATTTAAAAAGTTACTAAGAAAATCCCACTTTCTAGAGGGAGAGCAAGGTAGACCCTGGTGAAATAAACAAGCACTATGGGGTGGTCACAACATCCCTGCCACTAGCCTGTGGTGAGCATGGGGCCTCAGTTGCCCTCTTGCTGTAGGCCTGGTCTCTTCAGGTCCACAGAGCAGGTCCACAGAGCTCAGGACCCAGGCATGCATGACAGGGGACCCATGTGCCCCCAAACAGGACATTGGCTTTGATGCTGAAACACGAGTTCAGCCAGAGTGAGGGGGGCTGTGAGTCTGTTCCAAATATCGGCAGGAACCTCTTAAGCAAACCCAGCTGCCTGCTTCTCTCCTCAGCCTTGGGAGGGTGGGTTCCTTGTCAGAGTTGTTAGGCACAACTGGGGAGGATCCAGACTCCCATGGTGGGATATGCTTTTAATTCCTTTTGATAGGGAAGGCTCTGCAATGAATTCTATGATTCCTTGTCAACGTTTTGAATCTGAGGAAATGAGACTTAAATGACTTTGGAGGCAGCAGCTACTTGCTTGGCACACTGCTTGCTGGTGGATCAGGTGGAGATGTGGGTGTTCACTGTGTAGTCTTTCTACATTTGCCCGTGTTTCAAAATGTCCATGCTAAAATGTTTAAAAACAAACCAAAGGACTTGGCTTTGAGACGAGTTGCCTTGGACAGTGGGTCTGACTGCCAAGAGAGATGAGCGGTGGTAGAAGAGGCCCTGCCATGTGCCTGTGCGGGCACGGCCCGTCACTGGGTTGGCGTAGAGGCCAGTGAGCCCCTGAAGGATTCAGGAAGTTAGGTACAAGGGCACTTACTGTTCTGTCTACTTTTCCCCCTCAACTCTCTTCTAAAGTCAGAGTTATGTCCCAGTAGGGCATGGCTCAGTGGTTGAGCATCGACCGAGGATCCAGGGGACTGAGGTTTGATTCCCAGTCAGGGCATATGCCTATGTTCCAGGCTCGATCCCCAGTTGGGGGCGTGCAGGAGGCCGCTGATTAATGACGACTCTCTCATCACTGATGTCTCTATCTCTCCCTCTCCCTTCCTCTCTCTCAAATATATATATATAAAAATAAATTAAAAAGTAAAGTCAGGGTTATGAAGTGTAGTCTGCATACAGCAAAATGCACCCTTAAAAAAAATTTTTTTTTAATCATAACCGAGGACATGCTTTTTTTGATTTGAGAGAGAGGAAGGGAGAGGGAGAGAGAGAAATATCGATGGGAGAGTGAAACATTGATTGGTTGCCTCCCATATGGATTGAACCCTCAACCCATGTGTTTTCTGATTGGGAACTGAACCCATGACCTTTCAGTGCATGGGATGGTGCTCCAGCTGAGCCACACAGGCCAGGGCAAAATGTTCCCTTTTAAGTGAGCCATTAAGTTCACAGCCCCGCAGCCGCTACCACATCACATCAGGACACAACATTCCAGCACCCCAGATTCCCTTTGCCTCCATGTGGTCAGCCCTCCTCCACCCCAAGGCCCTGGCCACTGTCATCTATCTTCCATTCCTGAGGGGTATCTTTTCCAGAACATCACCTAAATGGAATCGTGTGGTTCAGAGCCCTTTGAGTCTGCGTTCTTTCTGGTGTGCCCTGTGTTTGAGGTCCTCTGTGTTGTTGCACGGACCAGTTATTTGTTCATTTTTATTGCTGGGTCATATTTCGTCGTGTGCTTGCTTGTCCACTCGCCAGTGGAAGGACGTTCAAATCACTTTCAGGTCTGGAATTTATGGTACAGTTTCTACAAGAGTGCTGTGGGTACACCTTGGGCAAATACGTGGTGTGATGCTGCTGGACTAATGGACAGAGTATGTTTAACTTCACAGGGAACTTCCAGACCATCTTCCAGAATGGCTGCACTGTTTTGCCCACAGCAACCCACAGGAACACAGTGCCTGTTGTTCCATGTCCTTGTCAGCACTTGGGGCTCTTGGTCACTGTCGTGTTGTTTGTTTTTTAAGCCTTTCTAGCAGGTGGGCATCTCACTGTGGGTCTACTTTGCATTTCCCTGATGACTGTTGATGTTGACTCCTCATGCTCTCACTTGCCATCCACCTGTCTGTTCACAGCCTGCGTGTTTGAACTGGGTTGTGTGTTTTCTTGTTCTTGACTAGTGAGTGTTCTCTTCATATTCTGGGTACAAGGTCTCGGTCAGATTTGTGGTTTGCAAATATGTTCTGACAACTCTGTTGCATGTGTGTCTTTATATTCTTAATGGTGTCTTTCAAAGAGCGGAAGTTTTAGTATTTTAAAAGTTTAGCTAATCGGTTTTTTAATTTGTAGATTATATTTTCAGTGTCCTAGCTAGTAAATCCTCGCTTAACCCAATAGTTTTCTCCTGTCGTCTTCAAGAAGTTTTAAGTTTTACATGTAGGCCCGGCATCCATTTTGAGTTAATTTTTGTTTGAACAAGCTGAGGTCCATTGTTCCTGCTCCACATGTACAAAACACTCTTTTGTCCATACTGCCAACTTGCCTGTGCCTGTTTGTGAAACATTAAGTGATGTTGTGGGCTCTGTATGTTCCACTAGCATGTGTCCTTCTGTGGGTCCCATACTCACGTGTATAGCTTTATGGTACATTTGAGGTCAGGTAGCGAGTCCTCCTGCTGCAGTCTTCTTTTCTATTTGTCTTGGCCATTAGAGTTATAGTACCTTTGCTTTTCCATAAAATTTTAGAATCATCTCTTTGATTTCTACACAAATAAACCTGTTGGAATCATGATTAGAATTGTGTTGAATCTGTAGACAATTTGGGAAGAATTGATATCTTTATAATATTGTGTCTCCAAATCCATAAAAATGGTACATCTCTACATTTATTTATGTCTTCTTTGATTTCTTTCATTGGGATTTGGTAATTTTTAGCATATAGGTTCTGTACACATTTTGTTAGATTTGTAACTATTTTATTTTTAGTGGTATTGTGGTTTTTTGGGGGGGTTTTTTGTTTGTTTTTTTAAAAATATATCTTTATTAACTTCAGAGAGAGGAGGAGAGAGAGAGATAGAAACATCAATGAGGAGAGTCATTGATCAGCTGCAGTCCACAACCCAGGCATGTGCCCTGACCAGGGATCGAACCCTGATCGCCTAGATCCTAGGTCGATGCTCAGCCGCTGAGCCAGGCCTGGCTGGGCCTTTTCGTGGTATTGTAATAGTATAGTTTTGTTCATTTCAGTCTCCAGTTCATTACTAGTGAATAGAAACACAGTAGATTTTTTGCGTATTGACATTGTATCCTGTGGCCTTGCTTTTTATAGATTCTTTGGGATCTTCTCCGTAGAACATCATGTCTTCTCATAGAGAGTCCTGCTCTTCCTTTCCAATCTGATGCTTTTTACTTTTTTTCTTGCCTCATTGCATTGCCCAGAGCCTCCTGTACAGTGCTGACTATGACTGGTGAGATTAGATGCCCTTGCTTTATCCCCATTCTAAGGGGAACACATTTCATCTTTTACTATTAAACTTGAGCTCTTTCCAGATATTGGCTATTGTGAATTGCGATGCTATGAACATAGGGGTGCGTAAGTTCTTTGTGATTAGTGTTTCAGGATTCTTAGGATATATTCCTAGGAGTGGGATCACTGGGTCAAATGGCTGTTGCATATTTAACTTTTTGAGGAGCCTCCATACTGTTTTCCATAGTGGCTGCACCAGTCTGCATTCCCACCAGCAGTGCACCAGGGTTTCCCTTTCTCCACACCCTCGCCAATACTTGTTGTGTGTTGATTTGTTGATGGAGCCATTCTGACAGGTGTGAGGTGATACCTCATTGTGGTTTTAATTTGCACCTCTCTGATGATTAGCGACGTTGAGCATTTTCTCATATGTCTCTTGGCCATCCGTATGTCCTCTTTGGAGAAGTGTCTATTCAAGTCCTTTGCCCATTTCTTAATTGGGTTGTTTGTCTTCCTTTTGTTAAGTTTTATGAGTTCCTTATATATTTTGGATATTAACCCTTTATCAGATGTGTCCTTGGCAAATATGTTCTCCCATACAGTGGGCTCCCTTTTCGTTTTATTGATGGTTTCTTTTGCTGTGCAGGAGCTTTTTATTTTGATGCCGTCCCATTTGTTTATTTTCTCCTTAGTTTCTCTTGCCCTAGGAGATGGATCAGCAAACATATTGCTACAAGAGATGTCTGAGATTTTGTTGCCTGTGTTTTCTTCTAGGATTTTTATGGTTTCACATCTTACATTTAAGTCTTTCATCCATTTTGAGTTTATTTTTGTGTATGGTGTAAGTTGGTGATCTAGTTTCATTTTTTTGCATGTACCTGTCCAATTTTCCCAGCACCATTTATTGAAGAGACTGTCTTTACTCCATTGTATGCTCTTGCCTCCTTTGCCAAATATTAATTGAGAGTAATGGCTTGTATCAATTTCTGGGTTCTCTGTTCTATTTCACTGATTTTTGTCTGTCCTTGTGCCAGTACCAGGCTGTTTTGATTACAGTTGCTTTGTAGTATAACTTGATATCTGGTGTTGTGATCCCAACAACTTTGTTCTAATTTCTCAAGATTGCTGAAGCTATTCTGGGTCGTTTTTGTTTCCATATAAATTTTTGAAGTGTTTGTTCTAGATCTGTGAAATATGCTGTTGCTATTTTAATAGGGATTGCATTAAACCTATAGATTGCTTTGGGTAGTATGAACATTTTAATGATGTTAATTCTTCCACTCCATGAACATGGCATATTCTTCCACTTGTTTATATCTTCCTCTATCTCTTTTTTCAGTGTCCTGTAGTTTTCAGTGTCCAGAGTACAGGTCCTTTACCTCCTTGGTTAAGTTTATTTCTAAGTATCTTTAATTTTTTTGTTGCAATGGTAAATGGGATTTTTTTTTTTTTTTAGCTTTCTGAGATCATTGTTGGTGTATAAAAATGCCATCCATTTCTGGGTGTTTATTTTGTTTTTTATGTCTTTATTGATTTCAGAGAGAGGAAGGGAGAGGGAGAGACAGTGATAGAAACATCAATGATGAGAGAGTCATTGATCGGCTGCCTCTTGCACACCCCCCACTAGGGATAGAGCCCACAACCTGGGCATGTGCCCTGACCTGGAATTGAACCGCGATCTTCTGGATCCTAGGTTGATGCTCAACCACTGAGCCACGCTGGCCAGGCTCTGGGTGTTAATTTTGTATCCTGCTACCTTGCCGAATTCATTTATTAAATCTAGTAGTTTTTGGATAGAGTCTTTAGGATTTTCTATGTACCATATCATGTCATCTGCAAATAATTTGGATGTCTTTTATGTTTTCTTCTTGTCTGATCACTTTGGCTAGGACTTCCAGTACTATGATGAATAATAGTGCTGAAAGTGGACACCCCTGTCTTGTTCCTGTTCTTAGGAGAAATGATTTTAGTTTTTGCCCATTGAGTATGATGTTGGCTATAGGTTTGTCATATGTGGTCTATGTTATGTTGAGGTAAGTTCCCTCTATTCCCACTTCGCTGAGAGTTTTTATCAAAAATGGATGCTGGATTTTATCTAATGCTTTTTCTGTGTCTGTTGATACGATCATGTGATTTTTGTATTTCAGTTTGTTTATGTGATGTATCACATTTATTGTTTTGCGAATATTATACCAGCCTTGCATCCCTGGAATAAATCCCACTTGGTCATGGTGTATGACCTTTTTAATATATTGCTGGATCCTATTTGCTAATATTTTGTTGAGGATTTTAGAATCTATGTTCATCAGGGATTTTGGCCTGTAATTCTCTTTCTTTCTAGTGTCTTTATCTGGTCTTAGAATTAAGCTAATGCTGGCCTTGTAAGAAGAGCTTGGAAGTGTTCCTCCCTCTTGGATTTTCTGGAAAAATTTGAGGAGGGTAGGTGTTAGTTCTTCTTTGAATGTTTGGTAAAACTCCCCTGTGAAGCTGGGAGGTTTTCTATTCCTGCTTCAGCTTCATCAGCAGTTATTGGCCTATTCAGGTTTTCTGACTCTTCCTTGATTCAGCTTTGGAAGGTTGTATGTTTCTAGGAATTTGTCCATTTCATCCAGGTTATCCAGCTTGGTGGCATATAGTTGCTCATAGTATTTTCTTATGATCCTTTGTATTTCTGCGGGGTCAATTGTTACTTCCCCTCTTTCGTTTCTGATTTTGTTTACTTGGGTCCTCTCTCTTTGTTTCTTGATGAGTCTGGCTAAGGTTCATCAATCTTCTTTATCTTTTCAAAGAACCAGCTCTTGGTTTCATGGATCTGTTGTATTGTTTTTTAGTCTCTAGGTTATTTATTTCCACTCTGACTTTTATTATTTCCTTCCTTCTACTTCCTCTGGGCTTTTCTTGCCCTTCTCTTTCTAAATCTTTAAATTATAGGATTAGATGGTTTATTAGAAGTTTTTCTTGCTTTTTGAGGGAGGCCTGCAGTGCTATGAACTTCCCTCTCAGGACTTCTCTCACTGTGTCCTATAGATTTTGGGTTGTTTTCTGTTCATTTTCATTTGTTCCCAGGAAGGTTTTTATTTCTTCCTTGATCTCATTGGTAACCCATTCATTGTTTAATAACATGCTATTTAGCCTCCATGTGTTTGAATGGTTTTTAGTGTTTTTATTGTAATTGATTTCTAATTTCTTGTCATTGTGGTCCGAGAAGATGCTTGATATGATTTATGTCTTCTTGAACTTGTTTTGTGACCTAACATGTGGTCTATCTTTGGGAATATCTATTTTTTAGAAGAATGTATGTTGTACAGCTTTGGGATGAAATGTTCTGTAAACGTCAAATCCATCTGATCTCTTGTGTCATTTAGGGTCACTGTTTCATTGTTGATTCTTTGTCTAGAAGATCTATCCAATGATGTCAGTGGGGTGTTAAAGTCCCCAACTATGACTGTATTGCTCTCAATCTCTCCCTTAAAGTCCTCCAGAAGTTTTTTTAAAATAAACTTAGGTGCTCCTATATTGGGTGCATATATGCTTATTAGGGTTATATCCTCCTGTAGGTTCGATCCCTTTAGTATTGTGTAGTGACCTTTCTTGTCTCTCCTTGTGGTCTTCATTTTGAAGTCTGCTTTTTCAGATATGAGTATTGCTACCCCAGCTTTTTTAAAATTTCCATTTGCATGAAAAAAATTTTCCATCCCTTCACTCTCATCCTGTGTGAGTCTTTTGTTCTGAGGTGGGTCTCTTGTAGACAGCATATATTTGGGTCATGTTTTCTTATCCATTCAGCTACCCCATGTCCTTTGATTGGAGCATTTAATCCATTTCCATTTAAGGTTATTATTGATAGGTGCTTATTTATTGCTATTTTATTTCTTTATGCCTATGTTTCTCTCTCTATTTCTACTTTCTTATTATAGCAGTCCCTTTAACATTTCCTGCAATGCTGGTTTGATGGTGATAAACTCCTTTAGCCTTTTTTTGTCTGGGAAGCTCTTTATTTCACCATCTATGTTGAATGATAGCCTTGCTGGATAGAGTAGTCTTGGTTTCAGATCCTTGTTTTGCATTGCCTTGAATACTTCATACCATTCCCTTCTGGCCTGTAGAGTTTCTGATGTGAAGTCAGCTGACAGCCTTATGAGAGTTCCTTTGTAGGTAACAGATTGCTTTTCTCTACCTGCCTTTAATATTCTTTCTTTGTCTTGAATTTTTGGCATTTTATTTATGATATGTCTGGGCATGGGCCTCTTTAGGTTCTTGCTTGACACTCTTTGTGCCTCCTGAACTTGTGTGACTTTTTCCTTGATCAGGTTAGGAAAGTTTTCTGCCATTATTTCTTCAAACAAATTCTCTATCCCTTGCCTATTCTCTTGCCCTTCTGGTACTCCCATTAATGTGAACATTGTTATATTTCATGTTGTTCCACAGCTCCCTTAGACTGTCCTCCTGTTTTATCATTGTTTTTTTTCTTTTGGAATCTCTGATTGAGTGATTTTTTTCTCTACCCTGTCTTCTAATTCCCTGATCCGTTCCTCAGCTTCCACTAATCTTCTGTTTAATCCTTCTAATGTTTCTTTTATTTCTTCTATGTCATTCTTAATTTCCTTCATAGTTTCCATACCTTTATTCATGTTGCGCATTCTTACAGTCAGTATTCTGAACTCTATATCTGATAGGTTGCTTATCTCCATTTCATTTAGCTCTACTTCTGGAGACTTCTCTTGTTCTTTCATTTGGGGCTTGTTTTCTTTTGTCTCCCCATTTTGGCTGCCTATTTGGGTTTGTTTCTATGGATTAGGTAGATATGCCAGGAATCTCAGTCTTTTTGGATGGTCTCTGGATACAGGCCAATGTCAGACAGTGTTTGTGACTGGCCTTGACTTCCCTGTTTGGAGCTATCAGCAACCCACAGCTTGTGGTCCCCTCTGCTGGTGCTGGGTGCATTCAGACATTACCAAGATGCGCACTACAGCCTACTTTTCCAAGGCCCTGGTCCAGAAGCAGGTTAGGCAAAGACTCTATTTTTATTTTTAAAAAATGTTTTTATTGATTTTTCAGAGAGAGGAAGGGAGAGGGAGAGAGATAGAAACATCAGTGATGAGAGAGAATCATCAATCGGCTGTCTCCTGCATACCCTCTACTAAGGATTCAGCCTGCAACTCAGGCATGGGCCCTGACCAGGAATCAAACCCTGATCTCCTGGTTCATAGTTCATGCTTGATCACTGAGCTACACCAGCCAGACTATTTGGTATACTTTTAGAGTGAGCTTTAAAAGTTGTTATTCAAGGCCTAAGTATCTGTAGTTTTTCTAATTGGCTTTGATTTCTAAGTGAGAAGTGTTAATAATCTCCACAGTCAGTGCAGTTTCTCTGTGAAGTGCTGGTATTTCAAATAATGAGCAGGAGGCCAGGCAAATCCTTTAGAAAACTGGTCATTTTCTTGCTTGCAACCTTTCCAGGAACGCCGCTTACTGTCTCCAGGTTCTAGTCTGTTCTTGGTGAAAGTGGGAGTCTTCTCAGGTAGTTTTGTCTGCAGGAAGGCCCTCGCATTTCTGCAGGTGTCAGCATTGCCGGAGTCAGGGATGAAGTTACTTGTCAGGCAGTCAGTGGCTTACAGGAAATTCTAAGAGTTTCCTTTACTTTGGAGACTAGACCTAAGCCAGGTGAGCCTGCTTTCTTGGGCGATTTTAGCACAGACTGTATTTCCTGTCCGTGGTAGATGACATGGGTGTCGCTTCAGTGGTGGCTGGGCAGGGTCTTTCCAGTCCCCATACAGGCTGTGTTCTCAGGGCCCAAAGCCCACGACCTTGGGTAGCCTTGGAGAACGGCGCATGCCCTGTGGTGCTCCATGTGCTCCTTCCCCCGCCCCCAGCCTCAGAAGCCCGGCAATGGGGAGGAGCCCCCGGCCGACAGCGTGCGTGACATTAGCATTAGTACCCTCTACTTGGTCAGCACCACTGTGGACAGAATGAACAATGTGAGTGTGCGGCCCTGCCCCTGCCCCTGCCCCTGCCCCTGCCCCTGCCCCTGCCTTGTGAGTGACCACACCCTTCCTGGCCCCTCAGCCGAGTGCCTACTAAACTGGGCAAACCTTCTAGAACACTGCAGTGCCAGTGGGGTGGGGTGGATGAGATCCTCTCCGAGGCTGTCACCCTTGCAGCCGCACTACTGAGACAGACCATGGCACTGCCCCCAGGTCCTCTGGCCATACCTGCTCGAGTTCCTCACCCCTGTGCGCTTCACCGGGGCTCTGACCCCGCTCTGCAGGAGCCTGGTACACTTGGCCCAGAAGAGGCAGGAGGCGGGAGCTGATGCCCTCCTCATCCAGTATGATGGCAGCGGTGAGTCCCCAGACCCTGACTCAGCCCGGATCCTACCCCCAACCCCTGACCACGCCGTGTGGCCACCCTTCCAGGCCCTTTCCCTTATTAGCCCCGTCCCTGCACCCCATCCTGCCCCACACCAGGTGGTGGCTCCTGAGAATCTTGTCTTGTTTGCAGTGACCCTGCCATCTCCTTATGCCATAGCCACAAGGCTTCTGGTAAGTGGTGCGGCACCCTGCGAAGGACGTCAGGAAAGGAGTGGGCTCTCCCCTCTGTCCCTGGGTCCCGTGTCCTCCCCCTATCACAATGCCGGAAAGGACACTGCCTCTCAGTGGGGCCCAGTTAGGCACTCCCATTTGGATATTGGCTAGCTTGTTGTCTTGGAGGGCTCTTTGCCTCCACCCCAGCACCTCGTGGGTGGTCTTGTGGTCCAGCATGAGCGCGAGCTCCCATCTGTGCCTCCGCAGACCGTGTCTTCACGCCCCTACCTGGGGGATGGCCGAGGGGCAGCCTCACTGTGCCTCCTGAACGTCCTGCATCGGGATATCCACCCTTTGCTGGGTCAGCGGTGGGCAACAACCATCCCCCTCCTGCTGGAGTACCTGGACGGTGAGGCCCCAGGAGGTGGGCAGGCACCACCCCATTGTACCTGTCAGGACAGCACCAGGGTTTTGTAAGTGGGAAGAAGTGGCCTCCACTGTGGTTCAGGAAGGGTCTAGACAACAGGTCAGAGGTGCTCTTGCTGGTGCCACTTGGGAGCACCTGGGGTGTGGGCCCACTCTGGGTTTCCTTTGTGCCCTGAAAGATGGGATGGGACCTGGGCCAGGAGGGGGCTGCTGAGTGGGGCTGGACTGGGTACTCTGCACACTCCACTGTTGTCGGTTGTGATAGGCCTGCCAGGCTGACTGGTGACTGTCATTTCAGAACATACTGAGGAAACCTTGTCCCAGAAGGAATGGGAGGAAAAGCTGCTGATGGTGAGAGAAGGGAGAAGAGACTGAGGAGTAGCCTGGCCTGGGTGGGGAGAGCTTCGGGGGCTCTACCTTTCTAGCCTGACCTAGTGGCACGGCTGGGGGAGGGACAGGTGGGTGTCTCTGGAGTGAGGACTGTCTGCCCTCACAGATTGCCCACCCTGCTGTGACAGCCAGATTACAGGGGCTTTGAGCTGCCCTGATCATGGCAACCTCTGTTGTGTCCATTGCCTAGCCCAGAGCTGTCTGCATCCCTAACCCATTGCATACCTGCCTGGACTCAAAGGTCACCCACCATTCAGAGCCATGGCACAGAACCACCCTGAGGTCACTGTTTGACAGCCCTGGGCCTTGACTCGTGGAGGCTGAGTTCCCAGCCCTCACTGCTGCTCCTGTCCGCAGTTCCTTCGAGACAGCCTTCCTGTTGTGTCTGACAACACATGGATCTGCCAGCTGAGTCTAGAGATGTGCAAGCAGCTACCCTGCTACAACGAGACACCCCAGGAGAAGGTCCCAGGAGCCCCAGAAGAAAGTGGGGGGATAGCTTGCTGAGGTTTTCTGGGCATGGTCCTTAGGCCCAAATTCCTGTGCTTTGATTCTCTGTCACTTGCTGCTTGAGCCTATCTCTGGTGGCCCTTGTGACTCTGGCAGAGCCAGGAAAAGAAGGCCTGTGAGCCACCTCATAGTGGCTAGTGCCTGGGAGATTCCCTCTCATGTAGTAGCCAGTACCATGGGTTCTTGACAGTCCCTCCCACATCGGGCTGGCAGTGCTGGGCCTCCCTCCACTGGGCATCAGCACAGCATGCTCCCTGGCTTTGCTGCAGAACTTCCTGTATAAATGCGTGGGGACCACCCTGGGTGCTGCTTCCAGTAAGGACGTGGTGAGGAAACTTCTGCAGGAGCTGCTGGAAACGGCCAGATACCAGGAGGAGGCTGAGCGTGAGGTGCCAGCACCTGCCCCCACCCCCCATGTTCAGGAATCCCTAGACCCACAGCTGGCTTATAGTGCTCAGTGTCTTCAGGCACTGAGCCAGCATGAGTGTGTGTGCATACGTGTGTGCTGTGCACAGGTGCAGCAATGTGGTGTGTGCACGTGTGTGCACTGTGCATTCATAATGCATGATCCTTCTGTATCTGCCCCCACACCTGCCGCTGTGCCTGTCCCCTCCCCAGCGTGAGTGCCCCGTGTGCTTCCCCAGGGCCTGGCCTGTTGCTTTGGGATCTGTGCCATCTCCCACATGGATGACACCCTGGCCCAACTGGAAGACTTCGTGAGGTCAGATGTGTTCAGAAAATCCATCGGCATTTTCAACATTTTTAAGGTATAGCAGTCAGGCTGGGGAGGAGGTCTAGTGGGACTGGCCTGGGTTCTGAGATCCTGGGGGTGGGTGGGCATCCTGGGCTCAGGGTGCCCTGCAGGCTGGGGATGGGGTGGGGAGCTGCATCCAGTCTCTGCTTCCTTGTGGGCCAGGCTACTGAGTGTGGGCTCCCTCCCAGCTGGTGACAAGGGGCATGCAGCCCTCCTCCCCCAGTCTGGGCAGCAGGGATGGGAGCTGCCTCCTCTGCTCTCCCATCTACCGGCTGTTTGTCATCTGCCCCCTGGTGGCCGGTGGAGGCTGCATTCTTGCCAAAGTCCATTTCAGGAGAGCTGTGTGCCCTTGTCCCTCCCTGCTTTGTCTCCCAGTGCCTGTCCCAGTCACAGAATCTCAGGGTTGGAATGGGTGTGCAGGACCGGCGCACACTTTTGTGTATGCAGGTGTGAGCAGGCCCTGAATACGGAGGGACCCTGGCTCGGCTCCGCAGATCTTCCTCCTGCTTGACACTCCCTCCTTAGTCTTCTACTTAGACCTTTGGTCTCTGTCCCTTGGTCCCCAAAGAGCCTAAGTGTGGCTTGTCCTGCTGTCCCCAATGGAGGGACTCTCCCTGGGATTGAGTGTCGTTGAGTTAAGCCTCTGATGTTGCTGGCAGCTCTGCCAGCTTCCAGAGGGACTTGGGGGTTGCATGGGGGGCCTCCTATGTGTGGGGGTGGGGTTAACTGTGTGATTGAGTCCTGCTACCCCCCACTCCCACCTCAGGATCGGAGTGATAACGACATAGAGAAAGTGAAGGGCACCCTGATTCTGTGCTATGGGCACGTGGCTGCACAGGCCCCCCGAGAGCTGGTGCTGGCCAGGGCAGAGCCCGACATCCTGCGGAACATGTTTCAGTGCTTCAGCACCAAGGTGGGCTCCTGGGCCAGCATGGGGGGAGGGCGCCAATGCCACCACCTCACGTTTTAATGCCTCTCACTTTTTGTTGTTCAGGTTCTGGGAATAAAGGTAGAGACCAAGGTACAGTGTATAGGAGATAAGCACGGGCTATGCTTTTCTCTCTCTGTTGGGCTGGGATGAGCTTCAGGGGCAGGAGCCAGGGGGGTGCTCTCTGGGCTCCCTGGTCCTTGTCCATGGGGACAGCCTCTCCCCTGTTCTGACCTGGGCTCCGGGTGGTGGGTGGGAAGAAGGGGGGCCTCCTGCCACTTGAGCCACAGCGGCAGGTTTGGTGGCAGGTTTGCAGAGAGCTGTGGGCTACAGTCCCTCCTGGCTCTGCGCCCTGATGCTCATAGGGCTGACCTCTCTGTGATTCCTGGGAAGGGGCTGAGTTCTAAAGCCAGTGACTGTGGCCTCTGGCCTCACTAACACATTTCCTCTCTGGAACCTCTGGCACTAACCTGGACCTAAACCTAACTCTGGCACTAAGCCCCTCTCTGCGACCATCAGCCCTCCCCTTGAGGACAGATCCTCTGGTCCTCTGGGGTTGGCCGGGGGAGGGGCTGTCCTGAGAGTTGTCTTCCCCCACCCACTCTGAGCCCATTCGAGTAGCAGGGACAAGGCACTATCCATGTCCCCCAGACAGCTGTCCTCACCGTCTTCCCCAAACCCCAGAGGCCAAGTTGCAGGGACAGGCAGGAGGCAGCCCCACTCTGCTGGGGCTCTTCTTGGGTCTCCCTCCTTCTTCCACCTTGGGGGACCCTTCCAGCCACACCCCAGGGTGCAGGGGACACGGGGATAGAGTGCGCCATCTGCCTGCAGTTGTCCGCCCAAGGCCATGACCCAGGGACCCCAGGGGCAGTGCCAGGCAGAGAGCTGAGTGCCTCAAGGTTCCTTCACGGGAGGCCTCTTAGTCCTTGTGGCTTTGACGAACAGGGGGCATGTGGTCTGGCCTCTTGCTGTGGGCAGCCACCCATTCTGGGCTCAGCCCCATGGGCCAAGAGGCAGTGGCCGCCACCTTAGGGCAGAGCTGCGTTGGGGAGTGGTTATTGGCAGTCTCCTGCAGCCCGCTGTCCCTGCAGGACCCAGCCCTGCAGCTGTGCCTCGTCCAGAGCGTGTGCATGGTGTGCCAGGCTCTCTGCAGCAGCACAGAGGCCGGTGCCTTCCACTTCTCGCGGAAGGCAGAGCTGGTGGCCCAGATGATGGTGAGGATGGCAGGGCCTGGTGGGTCCTGGGGTGGCTGGAGGGCACTGACAGACGAGAGGAGGTGGGCCTGGGGAGGTCGGGGCACGTGCAGCGAGGGCCCCAGCACCTACTTGGCATCGAGCTTGACCAGAAGCCTTCACCTGAAGGGGAGGAGAGCTGGTGTTTTGGCCCAGGGCTGAGTCATGTGCTACCCCCCAGGACTTCATCAAGGCGGAGCCCCCAGACTCCCTGCGAACACCCATTCGGAAGAAGGCCATGCTCGCCTGCACCCACCTGGTGTATCCTTTCCTCCAGACACAGCTCCTGGGGTGAGGGCACTGGGGCAGTTAGACAGGCCCAGCCCTTAACTTGCAGCTCAGCTCCCTGGAGCCAGAGCTGGAACAACAGGCACAGACGGACATGGTCCACGGCTGTCTGCACAGCATCATGGCCGTGCTGCCCGAGCCTGACAGGGAAGATGGCTCCCGGGAGGTATCTCCGCGTGCCCTCACCCCCTGCCCGTGTCCATGGGGGGCAGAGAAGAGCCTGCTGTGGGTGGTAGGGTCACCGGTGGGGCTGGCGCCTCTTTTCCTCCCTTCTAGTCCCTGTTCCTGGACACCATGCATGCCCTTGAGGATCTGCTTAGGAGCATCCTTCAGCGTAACATGACCCCCCAGGGCCTGCAGATCATGGTGGAGGTGTGCAGCGGGTGTGCACTGCCCAGGCCGGGGGTGGGGGGGCACCTGGCAGCCAGCCCACGTTTATGTCTCAGGGCCCTCCTTGCCCTGGGGCAACACAGGGGCTGTTTGGTGCTTTCTGCAATGCAAAGTCTGTAGGCAGGTATGCAGATTGGGGTGGGTCCTCACCCAAGTGGGGCCTGGAGCCTGTTCCAGTGTTTCCTTCATCTTGTGGTGCTGGAATGCAGAGACCCTGCAGGAGCCCCAGATGTTAGCTTCTGATTATCTGGGGCTATCAGGACAGCGGGATGGGCAGGTGGTCGTCATGCTATCTCCCTCCCTGGGAACACCTGGTACCTCTATAGGCCCAGCTTGCTCTGGGTCCACCTGGGGTGGCCATGTGTATGATCCAGGCCAGCAGGACAGAGACAGGGCAACGGTGTGCTGCAATGGTGGTGACCCACCCGATCTGGCCCGCTAGCCCCCGAAGCTTGGAAGGGTGGCCTGACAGGGACACTGACCTGCCCACGGTGTACAGGCTCCTGCCTCCTGGGCTGTTCCCAAGCTGGCACCTGTGTGAAGCCCCCCTCTTCCCTAGCACCTGAGCCCATGGATCAAGTCCCCTCGGGGCTATGAGCGGGCGAGGGCGCTTGGCCTGAGTGCCTGCCTGCTGCAGTTCTTCCTGGAGCATCTGCATGTCAGTGTGAGTAACAGGTGGTGACCGCACAGCTGCCCCCCCCCCCTTCCTGGCCATCCCATTCCCAAATCCCATGCTTGGTGACTGATGTTTGCTGCCCTCACATCACAAAGTGCCCATCAGGCTTTCTTGCTGTCTTTGGTCCACCTCCTGGGCTCATCCCATATTCCAGAGAGTGTCCATGCTCCTTCTTAAGGCAGGGACAGAGGGCCAGTCAGGGCCAGGAGTGTCCTCAGGGCTGGCCACTCAGAGTTCAGTCTGACAGGCAACTTTATCATTTGGAGCTCATGCATCAGTCAGGACTGATTTGTGTTATGTTCCCCAAGGGAGGGAAAGTGTGCTGGGGAGCAGGCATGAGGAGGAAATGAGAGCATTGGAGGTGGAAGCAGCAGTTTGGGCAGAGACAGAGCCTGGCCACACAGAATGTTGTGGAAAAGGCAGACAGATACTAGGGGAGGTCAGAACTTGCCCCAAGAGCTACAGGGGTATGTGTTTTAATGTTCGGTAAGACTTCAGTGCCTACCCTATGCTCTTCCAAAATTCCACAGATGTCCTTACAAGGCCATTAACCCAGGTGGTTTGGGGTCCATGTGACACAGCCCTGACATTCTCATTGTGGTTGTGATGGGATCCATGGACTAAGGAGTTGAGCCAGCAGCGTCTGTGAGGATGGGTGTTTCCGGGCTTTCACAGGGGTGGTTGTGTTTGTCAGTGTAACTCTTTCTTCAACTGAACCTAATTACTACTTATCGCTGGTATGGGGGAAACTGGATTTTTGGATACTTAGTAACTGGCTGGTTTACAAGACTCCTTTGTTATTTCTAATGAGCTTTCTAATGAGTTTCCTTGTGCTTTTCAGATACACAGGCACATAGTTTACAGATGTTGGGGACTTGGGCTTTTCTCCTAATACTTTTACCTGAGTCCCTTCTTCATTTAGCACTTTGGGAACACAACCAGGGTCAGTCCCACTTTGGGTAGTTTTGATGCTGAGCAGAGGCTTCACCTGCAGGGCCATGTTTACTTTTTCTCATGTTCAGCAGCACCCTGTTCGGTTTTTTTGTTGTTTGTTTTTGTTTTTTTAAAAATATATCTTTATTGACTTCAGAGAGAGGAAAGGTGGGGGAGAGAGTGAGATAGAAACATCAATGATGAGAGAGTCATTGATCGGCTGCAGCCCACAACCTGGGCATGTGCCCTGACCAGGAATCGAACCCCGATCGCCTGGATCCTAGGTCAATGCTCAACCGCTGAGCCACGCCTGGCTGGGCACCCTGTTTGTTTTAATGAGACTTTTATTTTTGAATGTATTGATTTGAGAGACAGAGACATGGATTTGTTGTTCCACTCATTTTTGCATCATTGATGGATTCTTTTTATATATATATATCTTTATTGATTTCAGAGAGAGGAAAGGAGAGGGAGAGAGAGACAGAAACATCAATGATGAGAGAGTCATTGATTGAGCCCGCATGTGCCCTGACTGGGAATCGAACCCCGATCACCTGGATCCCAGGTCGACGCTCAACCGCTGAGCCACGCCCGGCCGGGTGATGGATTCTTGTATGTACCCTGACCAGGGATGGAACCTGCAGCCTTGGCATATTGGGACGATTCTCTAACCAACTGATTTACCTGGCCAGGGCTTTAATGAGGACTTTTGTCAGGAGCACAGACTAGATGTTGTCAGATGTCTTTTTTTCATCTATCAGGATGGCTGTAGGCATTTTCCCTTGGTGTTTGACTATTTCTAAAAATGTACCCAAACTTTCATTCTTTATGTGGCCAGATCTTCCATGTGTCTCCCAATAGCTCTTGCCTTCTGTGCCCTCATGAACGGGCTTTTACCACTCAGATTTTCTCGTGGTCGGTCTTCACAGGACCCTGATCCAACTCGAGTTTGTCTTTGTGTCAAGTTTGTCTGACCTGGCTAAGACAAACAGCACCTTCTCCTCAGGGTCCTTTTCCCAACACTCTAGCCTCCTGTTAATCCCCACGCTGATTACCCCAGATCCAGGGTGGGAGCAGTGGGGGCAGGAAGGCTGAGGGGTGTGAGGTGGGGTGGTAACTGGTGTTGAAAGGTGCGGGGCAGGAGGACGCAAGGCTCAGTATTTGAGGAGAGAAGAAAGGGCTCTGAAAAAACAGGACCAAGACCCAGTGAGGATGAAAGGGGGGGTCTCATGCAGTTTCTGTCACCTGATGGGATTTGCCTTCTGAGGGAGGGGGCTTCCCATGGGGGTTGGTGGAATCAGCTGAGCCTTGCCTCCTCTGCTGGCTATGGGGGCTCCATCTTTGCCTCCTGATCAGCCCCCAGCATACACATGCCAGCCAGCCTGACAGGTGTCCCCTCTTAGGGACCCCAGGAGACTGCTCATGGTCAGAGCTGAGCCGGGTGGAGCCAACACTGGGGGTAGCAGGGTCTCCCCTGCAGGGGACAGGCCTCACTGGGGCCATGCTGGCCACAGGGTCTATATCTGGGTCCCAGTGGTACAGCGGCACCTGCCCGTTCCCACATCCCCAGAACCCCAGCTTCCCTCTCTGGCCATCCTCCCCAGCCTCCCCAAAGCACTTCCTACCCCCTCCTCTCCAGGCCCTGGTGCCCTTCCACAACCTGGGCCTTCTCGTCGGCCTCTTCTCCCCACGGTGTGCGGACCTGTGGCCTGCCACCCGCCAGGAGGCCGTGAGCTGTGTCTACTCTCTGCTCTACCTCCAGCTGGGCTATGAGGGTGAGCCTCTGGCTGGGAGAGGTGCTGGAGGGGTGAGGAGCAGAACCGGGGCCCCAGGTGGCCAGGGAGGCCCTGCCCAGCTCCACACTCCCTCCTGCCTCGCAGGCTTCTCCCGTGACTACCGGGATGACGTGGCTGAGCAACTCCTCACCCTCAAAGACGGCCTTGTTCACCCGGACCCTGCTGTCCTCTTCCACAGCTGCTACAGCATAGCTCAGGTACCTGCAAGGCAGTCCACAGAGGGGAGGTCACTGTCTGGGTTGAGAGAAACTCTTGCAGGAACACCTTGCATCTCATGGGTCCTGCAGGGCGCTGGGATGGGGTGCAGCCTGGGGCCAGTGGGGTGGGGCACAGGGATGGGAGCACAGCAGGTTTCATTCAGAGAATTAGCTGTGTGGCACCACCTCTGCCCAGCACCACTTCTGTCACCCTCCTGACTCCCAGGGTTGAGAAAGCTGCCCCTGGTCCACCCCATGAGCCCCCAAGCCAGGGCAGTTCTGTTATTCCATTTGGTGTTGGAAATAGCATCTCGAGGCTTTCTCTCCTCAGAAGCAGGAAGGGAAGGGGATAAGCAGGGCCTGTTTTATGGGGACTTGGATGCTGGAAGGCAAAGACCCCGACCTCGGGAGTTCTCAGCGGAGCAGGAAACTTCGTGGTTGGGATCAGACTTGTTGATATTTCACCACCTTTATGCTTTCACATCTGGTACCCAATGTCGTGTTTTCCTTCAGCCTTCATGCTGCTTAATCTGCCTTAGATTCTGGCTGCTCAGTTGTGCTCAGGGGAGAATGAAAGGAGCCCATGGCTGGGCTGGTGGGGGAGTGGAGGGTCCTGTTGGCCTCTGGCTGGGCTGTCTAGGGTGGGACCTGTTGCCCTCTGCTCTTGACTATCCTAGAGAGTTCCAGAGTGGCTGCTCCTCCAGGGCCACTTGCAGCCCACCCCAAGTGTCAGGGCCCTGACTACCTTCCAGGGGTCCTCAAAAGGCTACACCCAGAGCCTGACCAGGCTCCAGTGGGGAGTTGGGGCTCCTGTGAAAGGGCCACAGCCCCCAGCACCCCAAAGGAGCTCCTGAGAGCGCTGGGCCAGGAAGAGAGTGGGGAAGCTGGAGCAGGGACCTGAGGTGGAATGGTGCTGGCCCCTCCCAGAGAGGCTATGTCCGGAAGCCCTTCCACTGTTCTTTTGACACACAGACCTCCTCCTAGATTATTGCGAAGCGCCTCCCACCAGATCAGCTCATCAACCTCTTGCTTACCTTGTTTGAGAGCCTGGGAGACCCTGACAAGAACTGCTCCCGAGCTGCTACCGTCATGATCAACTGCCTGCTGAAGGAGCGGGGCAGCATGCTCTTGGAGAAGGTTGGCATGGGCTGGTGGGGCAAGGTGGGGCTGGATAAGGTGGGGCTCCCTGCTCTGCGGGGTTTGACCCTCACTGCTCTGACCCCTTTCCTTGTGGGCCTGATAGAGACAAATTCTTCTCTTTTGTTTGAGGATTGAGGTTAGAATTTGGCAAAAGTCACTGCTCAGAAAGTAAGGTGAGCAAAGGAAAATGCACTGAGCTGCGTAGAACTGGAAGCTGGTTAGGTCTCAGGCCATGAGGGTACCAGGTGCCTGCACAGAGGGCCCCACAGTGGGCTGGCCCCAGAGAGGCTGCTGAGGTGCTGCCAACCCTCACACACCACCAGCTCCACATCCTCTGCTGGCATGCGCGGGTGGCTATCCCCAAACTTGTCCCCATCGTGCACTGGCTCAACTCTGGGTCAGACGTGTGAAGCGACAGCTGAATGGAGGTTGGAGGCTCCAAGGGTCAGGTGGCTCCCAGAGTGCGTGGGGTGGATCTCTTTCTGATGGATGTGCAATGGCTTTACATCAGTTCATGCATTTCTTACACACCCATACTGGCTACTCCAACATCTTCTTTTGTGAGGATACCAGGCTTTGGCCTATTTTTCTTCTGGGTTGCCTGTGCTTTTCTTACTGATTTGCAGCAGTACTTTATATAGTGTAGACAAAAGTTTTGGTTTTATTGTTGCTGACTTGTAGGAGTTCTTTGTATGTTCTGGATATTAACCCCTTGTCAGGTATATGATTTGCAGATATTTTCCCCTATTCTGTATATTGCCTTTTCACTATGTTGATTGTGTCCTTTGATGCATAAAAGTTTGACATAGCACCATGTCTGTTTTTGCTGTTGGTGTAGTGTTCAAGAAATCATTGCCAAATCCAATGTCATAAAACTTTCTCCTGTTTTCTTCTATGAGTTTTATAGCTTTGGGTTCCCCCTATTGGTAAAGGTAGGTGCCCCACGTACTAAGCTGGCTTCTGGACTTTTGTGGGAAAGGCTGTGAGCTGCCTCCTTCCCAGCCCAGGTTCACAGACAAGTGGTGTGGTGCTCCTGCCTCCGACGCTCATCCTGGAGCAGATTTGCCACTTGCCACTCAGTCTCAGTGTAACGTTGCCTCTAGTGTCTTGTACCTACAGGGGTCATGACAGGCCACCATTTCCTTTGCTGCCCTGAGAGACCTTGGCAGGGGGACCTTGGCAGGAGGACACTTCCTCTGATATTGAATCAGAAAATGTGGTCCTAGCAAGTGACATGCGACTCATGACCATAAAATAGGGCACATCGTAAAATACAGAGGGCAAGGCGGAGCTGCTCAGCAGGCTCCTCCCCTCAGTTGTGTAGGGAGTAGGAGAAGGGCCTCTTGGCCTGGAGAGGTGGACAGGAGGCCAAGGCAGTAGGAGGGAAGAGACCCCGCTGAAAACAGAAGGTGGAAGGAAAATGGAGCCACCACTGCAGAACATTTTGGCAGCTCCTCAGAGTTCAACAGTCTCCACAGGATCCAGCCATCCCACTCCTCAGTATGACCCTGGGGAGATTGAAACATGCCCACAGAGGCTTGTGCACAGGTGTCACAACAGTACCATGACAGCCAAGTAATTGGGACAACCCGAATGTCTATCAATTGATAAGTGGATAAACAACGTGTGCCCATCTATACAATAAAACTTCATTGGCAACAGAAAGGCATGGAGCACTGACACTCTGCAACATAGGTGAGCCTTGCAAACACTGCAAAGTGAGGGGAGCCAGATACAAAAGGCCATGTAGTGTCCAGAACAGGCAAATCCAGAGACAGAGTGTGGATCAGTGGTCACCAGGGGCTGGGAGGGAAATGAGGGTGTGAGGCTTCTTTTGGGGGTGATGGAATGTTCTAAAATTGATAGTGGTGATGGCTATACAACCCTGTATGTATGCTGGCAACCACTAAGTTGTATGTTTACCGTGGGTGAACTGTGTACATGTGGGTTATACCTCAGAAAGGGAAAGATCCCCCCATAGTCTCTGGGAGAGGTGAGCCTGGAACACCCTGGCAGGCGCAGTGTACAAAAAAAGCCCCACACAGTGGGCAGCCACCACACAGGTCCCTGTCCTGGGACTGGGTGGACCCTAGTGTGGACAGCAGCCAAGAGCCCTCCACATCCAAGTGCCAGGACACTGTTGGTACCATTCACTGATGCACAGATTCAAGCTGCTCCAAGCACCAGTGGATCCTGTTGGAAAAAATATGCCAAAGCAAAGAAAATACTAGAGAAGACAGGTAAACCCACTGAACCAATGAGAAATACCTGTGACAAGACAGCGCTCAGGGAAAGAGCCGACATCCAGAGAAGCAAAATGCAAGTGAGAAGGGGAAAGAGTGGGTTCACTGACATTTGAGAAAAGGGGGTGTCTGACCAGAGCATCCCAGGCACTGAGGCCTGTCGGAGTGGACAGCTGTCTGAAAATGTTGGTTGGTCTTGACTCTGATGCAGACAGATGGCTGAGTGCAGTTGGCCCAGGACCACAGGAGTGACTGAGTGCTCAGCCAGGTGTCCACAGTCACCAGCCTGCGTGACTTCAGGGGACAACAGCCCTCCTCACTGCCAAGAGCCCAGGAGACAGTGTGTGCCTGTGTCAGCAAGGAACATGGATGGCAAGATCCCTACAGGTCTGTCTGCAGACGTCGCAGCACTGGCAGGCTGAGGAGGGAGACCCTGGCTCCACCTGTGCCGGAAGCACACATCCTAGTTCAGTACCTCCTCCTGCCAGACCACCCAGACTAAGAGCAGAGGGCTATGGCCAAGAGGAAGAGCCTATGGTGGCTGCAGGAGTCCCAGACCCATCTGGTCCGGGAGACATGGCTATGCCTAGGTCCTTGAAAGGGGGACATGGAAAAAGAGCTAATCCCTGTTCTGTACTTGAGGTGTCGGTATGTTCACAAACCCTTTGAGAGAGGGAGTGACAGTGACAGCCTGGCCTTGAGGTTGGGGCTCCGGCCTGCACTGGGGAGGGGACCCCACACCGTACACTGCTTGTATGAGCAGGTGGGGGCTGGCCTGGGAGGTTCTATGCCTGAGCCACGGCCAGCCCCTTCTTGCTGTCCTATCAGGCAGCCTTGCCCGGGACTCAGAAGTTGGCGGAGTGCACGGTCTGCCAGCAGCCCTGTCCCAGGGACCATGTCCCTGCAGCTTTTTCTCCTCTGTTTTCACCTCAGACTAAGGTGTTTTCTAGGTGTGCAGTACGGCAGCGGGGGTGCCCGTGGTTGGGGACAGCACCCGCCTTGGGTACAGGGACCCAGAATGATGAGGCCATGCCTGTCACAGGGCCTTCAAGCCATGCTGAGCCCGCTGGAGGCCAGTCAGGGTGTGGAGCTGGATGTCTTCCCGCCCACCAGCCCCATGGGCCCCGAGGAGGCTCCAGGCTGGGGGACGGCTGCCTGCAGCCTCGCCCTGGTTGCCCCATCTCTGGCTTCTGCAGCGGGGGTCATGGCCCTCCTTCTCCTGCCCTTCTCAGTCTGGGGATTGATTAGTCTCCCTTTCTGTCCTTCAGCCCCCAGCCCACTGCCCACCTCCTTGGTCAGACCTGGCGATCGTGTGGGCAGCCCGTACACCAGAGGCTGGGTCTCCTTAAATAGGGTGCTCCACACACCCCAGAGGGCACCAGGCTCCTCCTCTGCCACATCTGCTGAGGGGCTCTGCAGCTCTGGGGCTGCCCTCCCCATGGCCCCATATGGATGGCACCTGGCATGGGTGCTCCCCAGGGCTGTCCTGCTTCTGGGTCTGACCAAGGTGCCTAACCCCCCCAGGTACCCGAGATCATAAGCGTGCTGCGCTCTAAGCTTCAGGAGACCCGAGAGGAGCATGTCCTACAGTCCGCACAGCACAGCGTGTACATCCTGGCATCTCAACACTGCGTGGCCGTGGTGTCCAGCCTCCTGGGCAGCCCCCTACCCTTTGACAGGTACTGGGTGCCTACCAGCCTGCTGGGGTGACACCAGGCACAGGGGTCCCTCCTACCCTAGTGTGGTGCCCTGCGCCCCCAGCCCCTCCCTGCCTCTGTGCTTGACGACTCCTTGTGAGAGCCAGGGAGATCCCAGGCCCTAGGCGTGTGGGAGACACCCCTGCCCCAGTGTCGCTGTGCCCTCCTCTGTGTGCTGGAGGCTGCCTCACGTTTCAGTGGGCACCTGGGCTCACTATCACGAGCTGTGCCATTCACTTCTCCTGGCCTGTCCTCTGCAGGGTATCACCACTATCTGTGAGCAGACCCCTAGGGCCTGGCCCTCCCTTCAAGCCAGGAAAGGGTTCCCATCCCCCATGTCATACTCCCAGTCCCATCAGTGCCCCATCCTGCCTGTCTGCCGCCTCCTCTCCCGCAGTGGCCCTCCGGGTGGCCGTTGCTGTGGTCCCAGGGCTGCTGGTGCTGCCTTTCTTTGCTTTCGCCGTCATTGGTGGAGGCCCACTGTGTCTTGGAGACCCCGTGCTTTTTGAATTTTGGGCCATAGAAGCCTTGTTTTTGCACAAGCTCCCTGGGCGTCACCTGACGAAGCGCCTCTCCTCACTGGCAAGGCCTTTGCTCATAGGTGCGTCTTAGCTGATCACTTGCCTGGTGGCTCCTCTACCATTGTGACACTGCCAGCACCCTCTGTCCTTGCGTGGTCATCACACCGCTTTTCCATCTCAGGGCCTGCGCTTTCTTGCTGATGCAGTTGGGCCTGAGTCCAGTCTTATTTTTTCTGTCTTACCTGCCTTTTTTCTGTATCTCCTTCTTGTCTCTTTTTTAGATTGACGGGGTCTTTTTTATAATTTCCTTTTTTCCACTCAGTTACTTTTTTTGCTTCTGTTCTTTTAGTGGTCATCCTAAAAATGAACATGTGGGCACAAGGGACGTACCTGCATGGCGCCTCCCTCCAGGCCCCTCCACACACCACCCGCATCACCGCAGCTCCGGTGGTCCCTGCAGTGGTATCTGTGGTGGTCTGCAAGTGGCTTTGTTTATCCCTTTCCTTCAGTTTTTGGGGGCATCACTCACAGGGGGCCTGGAGGCCCTCACTGGGTCAGGCGGTGATGTGGGGGATATGGTGGATGGAGCCCTGAGGGACGTGCTGTCTCTGGCGCACACGAGGTTGCTCATTCCTTTTGGCCACATGGCCTTCTGTGGGCACGCTGGCTGTGGCTGGAGTGGGCTGTCCTGGGTCAGGGTTGGCACATGCAGCCCTGCCCCACATCTCACCTGCCACCTATTTTTGCACAGCCTGTGAGCTAAAACAGGTTTTACACCTATCAGTGGTTGGAGGAAATCAAGAGCATAATGTTTCATGACATGAAATCACCTGAAGTTCGGGTCTCAGTGTCAAGAAAGGTGTTATTGGGCCCAGCACTCCCACTCGTTCCCACAGCAGTACCCATGTGGATGGGCTGCCCAACTGCCCACTGTCCATGTACCTGCAGTGTGTCCTCTCCGTCCTGGTCGGCATGTGTCTCTCCACTGGGCCACCTAGTTTTTGCACCTCACTCTGCATCTCAGCCCCTCACTTTCCTCCCATTTGAAGTGCATCCTCCAGGATTTCCTTACTGAGGGTCTGCTGCTGAAAACACTGCACTTTGTTATTTGAAATGTATTTGGGTTTTGGGGGGTGGTGGTGGTGTGTGTGTTTTTTAAGAGAGAGTGGAAGGGAGAGGGAGAGAGAGAGAAACATCGATGTGAGATTGAAACATCCATCGGCTGCCTCCTGCCCCCACCGGGGATGGAGGCTGCAACCTGGGCATGTGCCCTGACTGGGAATCCAGCTGGCAACCTTCTGGTTCACAGGATGATGGCCAACCACTGAGCCATACCAGCCAGATTCTGAAATGGATTTGCCAGGCTGCCTTCTTGACTATTGTTTGCAGTGTTTGGAATTCTAGTTTAGCAACTTTTCTTTCCCTGTGTGTAAGAGGACGTGCTGTCTCTCGCTCCTGGCATCTGACTGGAGCTCTCTCTGAGGGATGCCATGTGCTCTTCTTGGATGGGCAGGAGACATCCCTTGTTGCTGACTTGTGTGTGTTCCAGGTTGGGGCCCATGGGTCCTTTTTTTTAAAATCTTTATTGTTGAAAGTATTACAGATAATCATTTTCCCCCAACCCCCAGGTGGACCTCTTCACTCCACTCCCACACCGTCACCCCAGGGGTTCTTTTATTATGCTGGAAGTGCTGAGCTTCCTGAATCCGAGTCAGTGTCTGGCATCAGTTCTGGATACTTTCCAGCCTGCTCCTCTTCAGGCTTTCTTTCTGCTTCTCAGGTGCAGGTCAGTGTCCATAGACCTGTCTCTGGTTCCACCTTCTGGACCCTACCGCAGCCCCTCCCTGCGCTGGGTTATGCTGATTTCTTGCATCTGTCTTCCAGTTCACTGTTTCTCTCTTCTCTGCACATGTGTCCACCGAGTGCAGTGCTACGCTTCATTCCTAAAGAGCTGTTGGTTCTCTTGTCTATTTTTAGAATTTCCAGCTCTGTCAGGTATTTGAAGTTTGTCACTTCTCTGTACACACATTAACATTAAGCACAGCCACTTCCTATGTGTCTGAGCACCAATGTCTGCAGGCTGCATCTGCTCATTTCACATACAGACTGATTTCCCATGTGCCTGGTCTCTGGCCATGTGCTGCTTGCTGCTGTGGGACAGGTGTTCGTAGGTGCCTCCGGGAACCCCTCTCACCACCCCACTCAGCCCTCTCTGTTTATGGACCCCTAGGGTCAGAGGAGGGGTGAGTTTAGATCTAAGGTCAGGGCACCATTTCCTGCCTGGCTAGAGTTGAGTCTGGTGGGCATGTGTGGGGCATGGAGCTGGGGCTGGCAGTGGCCTCAGGTGACCATCCTCTCCCCTGCTCCAGCCTCACCTGTACCCTGTGGCGGGCAATGGCGGTGGAGCCGAGCCTCAGCACACAGGTCCTGGAGCTGCTCTTGGAGAAGATGAGCAGAGACGTCCCCTTCAAGGAGAGCCGGGCCTTCCTGCTAAGCAGCTCCCCCGACCGCGTGGCCACGCTGCTGCCCCTTGCGGTGAGTGCTGGCCCTATGCTTCCTTCTCTTCACTGGCGGGACGAACCCACAGATGGCTGGGTACTGCCCCACAGGCACCTGGTAGTTGACTGGGACCCCAGAGCCAGTGAGCTTGGAGCCCAGCTTCATAAAGGCCCTGCAGGTGTTGGTCCCCAAGGGAGACCACTCTGTTTCATCCTGTGGAAACAAAATAAACCCAGCTTGGCAACATCTTCAGCAGTAAAGCAGCTGTGAGAATTCCCTCCTCCTCTCTGCTAAGGAGTCAAGAGCAGATGGTCGGGGGCTGTCTCTGGGTGGCCATATGGCCCCTGAGCCTGCCTCCTGCCCCAGAGGGCCCAGCTGGGCAGCCCCGGATTCTTATTCTCCCTCCGAACCCAGACCTCTGGTACACACAGGGTGCACACTGACGGGCCGTGGGCTAGCCTGGATCCTAGGAAGCAGGGACCAGCTTTCATACTGGCCACCCTCATTATACTTGGCCCCAAAGGGAGGGGTGAGCCTGAGGTGGTCCCTGTCCCCCAGGCCACCTGTGCACTGCACGAGATCATGTCTGCTCCAGCATCCGGGCCCGCGGTGATTGAGCTTTACCCTGAGCTGTTTGCTGGGCTGCTGCTGCGCATCAGCTGCATGGTGGGCGTACAGCTGCCCCGGAACCTGCAGGCCAAGGAGCGGAGGGCCGCCAGCTCAGTTCTGGCCTCCAAGACCCTGGATCCCTGCAGGTAACAAGTCCTCACCTCCTGCCTCAGCGTCTTTGTGTGAGCACAAAGCATGTGGTGTGAGCTCGCTGCATGGCGTGCCTCTGGTGTGTGTGCACCAGGCCTCAAGGGTGAGTTTGTGCCTGGGAATCACGCCGCCTCTGGTGACATCCGAGGGCACCTGAGGCCACTGCCAGCCCCAGCTCCACGGCCCCCACATGCCCACCAGACTGCGGCTGGGAATGCAGCTTTCCTGGGCTGCCCCCCTCACTTTCTCCTGGAAGTCTGGGACAGGGACTGTCGCGGAAGCCACTGCAGGTCTCTGGGGCAGTGCTGGCCTCAAGATGATGGGCAGGAGCTCTTTGGGGATGGTCTGGGGTGCTGTGGGACCTGCAGGGAACCATGCCTCCAGCACAGCCTTTGCAGCTCAGTCCTCCAATCCTCTTCAGACAGAAACTCCGCAGTGGCCTGACCACTGTCCCAGGTCAGCCACTGGCCCTAGCCTGTGCATGCACTTCCCCTAGGCTCTCATGGGGTCCTGGGGTCTCTGCCAAGCAGGTGTTGGGTCCTGGCAGGAGACCAGGCACAGGCAAAGTCCAGCTACTTGCTGAGGGCAGGGGTTACAGAGCTTTAGCAGCCTGCCTGTCCTGGTCCTTGGGGCCATTACCAGGCCCAACACACTGGCACTTTGGGGCTCCCTCCAAACAGACACCTGGGGCCGCAGGGTGAGTACAGGAAGCTAAGTGACAGTGAGCCCAGGTCACTTCTTTATCCATCCCAGGTGTCTGGAGTTGGAAGTGCCCCTTGGTTGGGACACATGGGGACAGCGTCACTTCAACCACCCCCACTGCAGGGCTCCTCCACCACAGGACCAACTCGTAAAGTCTGGAAGAGGCTGCATGCCAGGGCTTGCCCGGCTCTGCATAAGCCAAGTGGAAAATGTGAACAGACCAGAGGACACTAGCCCAATGAGCCCTGGGCCTGCCGTGCCGGACTCTGCCCCATGGCCATGAGCTGTGGGGGCTACAGGCCGCACACCCCCACCAGGGGCCCCTGGGCTGTATCCCTGAAGTGGAACATGAGCAGAGCCAGGCACTGGGTTTGGCTCTGACAGAGGCTGTCAGCCAGCGAGTCAGACCCTTGCAAACGCCACATCCACAGAAATTCCAGGCAGCAGGCAGACAGGCAAGGGAGGCACCCTCACTTAAATTGTTCACATTCTCCCAAACCAGACTGGCGCCTCCATTTGTTGCAGCCAAGAGCCGCCCAGAGTGCTGGTCTCAGCCTAGAGCAGGGTATGGGGCTGATCCCATGGGCCTGGCCCTGCTGCTGCCCTGGGCATCTGCCCAGTGGCCATGATGGCCTATGAGGGAAGCCCCAGCAATGACTGGGCCTTCACTGGCTCCAGGGACAGCAAAGGAGACACAGCAAGAGCCACCTTCCAGTGCTTTCTCTCTGGGGAGGGGCTGTAGGGGGGGGGTGTTTGCTGACACTCAGCGAGGGTGACCATGGGGATGGGATGGGCCAAGTGCACTGGGTTGTGTCCACACTGTTGGGCTGAAGGAGGCCAGTCAGGTATGCTGCCCCCTGGCCCCAGCCTGTGTAGGCACTTCTGGTGGGTGTCTGCCCTGAGGCCAGGAACTCCCAGGGGCGAAGCCTCGTTCACACACACTTCTGTAGGCCAGTGTGAGGTGACCACTGTGCAGAAGAGTGTGGGTAAAGGGGGGCTCCCTGTGTGGTTCTGAGGACCCTGCCAAGCTGTCTCTAGGCCACAGGCTTTGCTGGGAGGTTCTGCCAGGTGTAGAGCCCACACTGTTCTCCCCAGACCTTGTCTTGAATGCTTCTGTCTGAGTTGGGGGTTTATCCAAGCAAGAGGAGCTGACACTGAATTCCAGCTGGGCCCTGTAAGCTCTGGCCCCTCCTATGGGATTCTGGTTGGGGCAGCAGGCAAGGCCCACACCTGCCATCCTCCAGCTGGCTCAGCTGGTGAACAGAGCTGGACACTCTGCCAGCTGCTCCAGCTCTTGTCTACCATGTGTCCTGGGAGCAGGGTTCTCTCCATGACTTACATAGCAGCCCAGTTGATATCTGGGAGTGGGCTGGGCCTTTTCTGCTGTCCCTTCCCCCAGGGCTGTGAAGTCTCCTGGGTGGGTAAGGCTGTGCATATAGGAGAGACAAGGCTGGAGGTGCAGAAACAGGCTTTGTGGGGGGTCCAGGCCCAGGAGTGGGGGACAGGTGCAGTCTTCACAGCTCACCTGAGACCAGAGAGTCCATAGCTACCTGGCTGTGCCCTGTGCCCAGAGTGAGGTAGGGGGAGCTGAGGGCCTGCTTCCCACAGGGGGTAGCTGGCAGGGTGGGAGCACTCAGCTCTGGGACTCGTGTTTGGGGGTCGGGGGGCTGCAGAGCTGAGTGCGCAGCCACACGCCCCTGCAGCTCAGCAGTGGATGCTCTTCGGGCTGTACTGCTCCGGGGCGGCAGCGAGGACGTGGTACAACGTGTGGAGCTGGAGGGAGGCTGGGAGTCACTGAGGACCACCATAGGACACGAAGACGGGGTCGCCCGGCTGGCCAGGTAAGCACTGTGGGCCGGCTCCTGTATAGGCAATGTCTAGGGGCTCTGGGACCTGCAGAAGGCCCAAACGAGGGACTCCCCCAGTGGCACAGAGCTTCCTGAGTCTGTGGGCCCAGCCTGAGAGCAGGTATATCAGTGAGGGCCCACATGGGGCCTGCCATCTGGCATTTGGAAGGGGGGGGGCACACGACAGCTGCTCACTTCAGGTTGTGTTGGGGTTGGTAGCTGTCCTGGAATTGGTGGTGGAGAGAGGCCCTGCTGTGGAGGCGGGGCAAGGTGGGCTAGGAGGGGTGCATCTGAGGGGGAGGAAATGCAGGGACTGGCATCTAGGCACACAGGCTCATAGGGCAGAGGGCTTTGAAGTGCAGGGATGAAGTAGAGTTGTCCCAGGGTTGGCTTGGGTGGCCCAAAGCCCCACCTTTGCATGGTGTGGCCTCCTTCCCCAGCGCCATGGCGAAGTTTGCGGGCCCCCGGCTGCCCCTGGTGATGAAGGCGCTCCTGTGTGCACACAGCAATGTGTATGAGGCCCAGAGGGTCACCTCCACAGCCTTCCTGGCTGAGGTAGGCGCTGCTTGGTCTGGGTTGCTGCCAGGGGCCCAGCAGGGTGGGGCAGCTCCCACAGACTGGCACTGACCTGCCCAGCCAGAACCATCACCCAGCCCCCACTTGGTGCTGCAGCGCCCTGGGCCACACCTGCTCTGTGCCAGTAGAAGCCTCAGCTGGACCAAAGCACTAACAATGCTGAAGACGTGCCCAGGGCCATGCCACAAGAGCTGGGGCTGGGGCTGGGGCTGGGGCCAGGTTGGGGAAGATGATGAGGGGTGGCTTGAGCATAGCCTGGCCCTCAGCTGACTTTTGCAGCATCCACCTCACAGTGGCCTGGGAGGAGCTGTCGGGTAGCTGGTGCAGCCCTGAGGGAGGCCAGGCTGGTGTGGTGTGAGCCCCTGGGGGAGCAGGAGGTCACAGCACCTCTGCCTCCAGCTGCTCAACAGCAATGTGGTGAACGACCTGATGCTCCTGGAGTCGCTGCTGGACAACCTGGCAGCCCGGCAGAAGGACCCGTGTGCCAGTGTGCGGCGGCTGGTGCTCCGTGGTCTGGCTAACATCACCTCTGGCTCCCCAGATAAGGTGAGCCAGCCAGCCAGCCAGCCTCTCTGGAGCCGAGATGGACAGTAGGACTGTGGTGGGACCCACAGGCAGGTGTAGGGGGGCAGGGATGTGCATGGCAAGCTTACAGGGTGGGGGGCTAGGTCATTCTGTGAAAGAACAGGCACCAGGGCTTGGTGACCTGGGGACACAGCTGAGTGCAGGGTGTCCCCAGGTGCAGACTCACGGCCCCCAGCTTCTAACAGCCATGATCAGTGGGCTGGACGACGGGGATGACCCACACAGCCTGGTGGCCCTGGAGGCCATGGCGGGCCTGGCGAAGCTGCTGGGCCTGGTGGAACCTGGGGACCTGCGCCCAGTGCTGCTGCACACAGCCATCCGTATCCGACCTTTCTTTGACAGTGTAGGCTGGGCAGGGACAGG